TCTGGGGAGATGGAAGGTTCTGGAACTAAAGGTGGCAGTTGTACAACCCTGTGAATGGACTGGTCTGTGGCAATGTACTTTAGATGAGATGGAGTGGCGTGTGAATTATGTTGCAATAAAGTTGTTACCTGTAAACAAAACCCACAAGCCCCAGCGCTGCCCCAGCACTCCTGTTGATTGTCCTCTTGGTCCCTCCCTGCGCCTGGCCTCCCGTACCCGGCACATCTGGGGCAGACAACCCGAACGGCCAGACCAGGGATGCAGCCCAGCATCCGCCCCACAGAGGGAGAGCAGACTCACCCGCAGTGAGCCACATGCAGACCAGGGGAAACATAACCCTGTTCACCCCTTTAAACAGATCACAGCAAAACAGCCATCCAGGCAGAAATCTGAGCCCCATGGGGGCTCCTGTGGTCCCGCAGGCCACACTCCCCCCCACCGGCACTGTGCCCTCCTCTATCCCTAGCCCTACCACAAAGCCCAGAAAGCCCTGTCCCCCAACTCCTAAAAAGAAGGGTCAGGCTTTTAAACGACAAGAGTGTTATCGGAGTCAGTACCCATCACGCACACACACCCCCACAGCACTTTCTGCACACTAGCCCACACCCCACGACCAGCTGAGGGGAACTCAAGCCGAAGTCTCTCTAGAGAGGAGGAAACTGAGGCTTAGGGCGGTTGCATGGTAAAGCCCAGAGCCCTTGACCTCCCAACCTCCACGGGCAGTGCCCCAGGAGCCACACAACAGGCAGGAAGAAGGGACTGGTGCAGTGCAGGGGAGAGGGCCCACGGGCTCGGAACTGGAAGCGGGATGTGGGTTGGGGAGAGGAGGAGTTCGGAGAGCATGGGGCAGGGGACGGCGAGGCACTGAGGGCAGGCCGGAGCCACGTGTGGGCTGTGGGGTGGCAGAGCGACACCCCGGCACCCCCCAAAAAGCGGCAGGTCCTTGGCAAATACCTGCAGAATCAATACTGTGGCCTGGGCCAGCAGGAGCCCCCACTGGTGGGAACCGTGGGGACACCTCAAGGGGACAGAGGGAGCAGAGAGAGGCTTCAGGAAGTACACCCTGAGCAAGAGGAAGGAAACAGGAATGTTGTTCCCACAGCTAGGGAGACCCAGGCACACTCTGCAGGGGAAGTCAGGCAGAGGAAGAACTTTCCCAAGAGAGAGGCATGGGGCCCAGGACCCAGGTGCTCCCAGATGCAGAACCCTGGCAGCCCACAGGTCCCACATTCAAGAGAGGACCCCAGAATGCTTTGTATCTTGACTGCACCAGTGCCAACGATATGCTCATCCTGCTCGGGTTGTAAGATGTCACCACTGGGGGAAGCTGGGTAAGGAGAACACAGGGTGTCTCTGTTCGTTCTTTCTTTTTAAGATTTACTTATCTGAGAGAGACAGCCCGGGGCAGAGGGAAAGGGATAGAAGCAGACTCCCGGCTGAGTGCAGAGCCTGACTCGGGGCTCAGTCTCACAACTGTGAGATCATGACCTGAGCTGAAACCAAAAGTTAGCTACTTAACCAACTGAGCCATCTAGGCGCCCCTGTTATTTCTTATGGCTTCAAGTGAATATACGATTATCTCGAAATTAATAGTTCAAGGGAAAAAAAGGCAGAGCTCCCAGAGGGAGACTGGGCAGGCAGGTGCCAGGCAGGTGCCCTGCAGCTCTGCTCCTGCCTCCCCAGGGAACATCCAAAGTTCCTGCTCCCTCCGTCCCCTACCCGTCCGGAACAGAGTACCGGCAGGCATTTGGATCCTAGGAACCTGCCTATGAAAACTAACAGCCACATATGACATACAGGCTTTTCTGATTATCCCTCCCCCCTTTAAAGTAGCTACTCCACCCACACAAGGTTGTCTAAGGGTTAATCTGCCTTCCACCTGAGTGCGGATTAGGCAGAAGGCTCACACAAGCCTAGGTCAGCATCAGAAAATATTTTCTGAGTCACAGGGAGGGATGGCTCACTCTGCCCACCCACTCATCCTCCTGCATAAAGGGCATGACTGCTCAGAGGGCAATCATCAGATCGTGGGCTCCCCGGGAGGAAGCTGAAGGCGGGGATAGTCACGATGGGGCTGCTCCCCCGCCCACAGGCTTAATAAGTCATGGAGGAGATGGACCACTCCACGCCCTCGAAGGTTCTTGCCCGGCAGCCAGGCAGCTAAAAATACCACTACCCCCCTTCCAGCTGAGACCTGGTTTTCCCACTAAGACAAGAGCCACCTTGAGCTGTAGGTGAGTATCCAAGAACTCTAAGTCATGGAAGCAACAAAACTCAGCCGCAACCCCCCCCCCCACCTTCTCTCCCATTTCTCAATTTCCCAAGAAGCCTGTTTCTGACCCTGGACATTTCCCAGTGTGGGTGGTTGTGACCGTTGGTACTTCCTCCTGCAGATGCCCCCACCTCCAAGAAGCCACCCACACCGCCCCCAGGGCAAAACCAGCAGCCCCTCCCTCCAGGACCACCTCAGCCAGCAGCTATGTGGCCACATAACTGCTGAACTTGTGGGTTTATAGATCTCCTACCTCCCTAGGTTTATACATTTCCTGAGCATGCGAATACTGTCTACTGTCCTCTGCGGCCCCAGGAGCACTGGAAGCAACCAGTAGGTGCTGGCAGAATGAATGGATCCGTGAACAAATGGGCCCAGTCATCTCGCACATGTAGTCAAATGACAGTCTGACCTCCTGAGAAGTTAACTTATGAAGTCATTCGTTTTCTTTTTTTTTTTTTAAAGATTTTATTTATTTCAGAGAGAGAGAGAATGAGAGATAGAAAGCACGAGGGAAGAGGGTCAGAGGGAGAAGCAGACTCCCTGCTGAGCAGGAAGCCCGATGCGGGACTCGATCCCAGGACTCCAGGATCGTGACCTGAGCCGAAGGCAGTCACTTAACCAACTGAGCCACCCAGGCGCCCCAGAAGTCATTCGTTTTCTTAACATAGTCATCATCGAATCATCACAAAATATGAAGCCTTTTGAAAGTACTGGCCCTCGCTTCCCACCAGAAAGCAAACTTCGTCAGTAGGGATACGGAAAGTTAAAAGACATCACCACAAAGCTGTAGCGGGAGCGTCGCTTGCCACTGCACTAGCAGAGGATTTCACGGGGCCCGCCTGCCCACTGGCCTGGCAGTGGGACAACCACACCAGGAAAGGGCCGCTGACGTCAGGCAGAGCGCCTGGCCAGGCGGGCAGCACAATCCCATCCCCCTGCCAAGCGAGGTCCCAGCCAGTGAGGGAAAGACACTCTGCAGTTCAGAACCAGTGGCCACTAGAAAGCCAGGCCCAACACGGAAGGCCTTGTTTACACTGGGTACAAATCACTATGGGCCTTGCTCTGCTCCAAATAAAAGATGGTGGTGAGGGGGACACTGTGGCTGTCTCTGGGTGAACTTTCACCTTGGTGTCCAGGGCCTGGATAGTGGGTCACAGTGCATTTCCTCAGTCTTCCAATACCCAACAGTGCCAATCTGGGAGATGCACAAGTGTCACACATGGCGGCACAGGCCCGTCCTCCCCCGAATGCTTCCCAAGGTGAGAAGTCAAGTTCGCGTAGAAACCTGCCCCCACATGCTCATAGCAGCTTTATTCCTAACTACCCCCCCCAAACTGGAAACATCCCACAAGGCCACCACCGGGCAGTGAAACAGGGAAATGAAAAGATGGAACAGGACATAGCAATAAAATGGACGGACTTCTGATACCCACAGCAACATGGATGAGTCTCAGAAATGCCCTACTGGGCCAGAAAGCTGCCTGCTGTTCATTCCATTTATCTGACTTTCTGGAAAAGGCAAGCCTGTAGGAGCAGAGAGAAAAGAGCTGAGCTGGTGGAAGGGAACACGGAGGGCTGACGGTGGCCTCATTAGGACGGACCTGTCCAAACTCCTGGAGCTGCACCGTGCCAAAAACAGTGATCGTACTGCGTGCGAGCTAAAGATAAAAAAAGCTCAATTTTAAAGAATGCTCTGGCCAGCCAACTGGTGCATGCGGAGCGCTGTCACAAGGGCGGAGAGAGGCGGAGGCTGGTGGAACGGTTGGAGTTTTGAAGGTTCTCCCCACTTTCGTCACACTGGACGTCGGTCTCCCCGCCCTGCCCACTGCCCAGGCGGCCGGACACACACATACACACACACACACTTTGCCAGCCGGAAAAGCCAGGGCCCGGGCTCGACCTCGCCTCCGGCCGCAGGATGAGCAAAAATAGAAAGCTCCGGTGCGCGCGGCGGGCTGGAAACCGCGAAACCCTCCGACCGCGGAGAAGCCAGGGCCGGCAGCCAACACCCGCTCCCGGGCGGTCGCCGCGCCCCGACCCCGCCCCCGGCCGCGACGTTTCCAAAAACTGACACACACGGAGCGCGCGTGAGGGGCGGGGCGCGCGGGCTTCCCCGCCGGGTCCCCCGTCCCCCCGCCGGGCGTCCGCGCCGAAGGGCGCCCCGAAGACGCCCGCCCACGGCGCCCGCCGCGCTCCCGCTCCCAACGGCACCCTGCCCGGTCCGAGCGGCCCCGGGGACGCGGACACCCTCGCCGCGCCGCCCACCCGCGCCCCCGCGGCTCCGCAGCCGCCCCGGGGCCACCCCGGTAAATTTCCGCTCGGCCGGTCATTTTCCGAGGGTCACTCGAGAGTGGGGGACAGAGCGGTCCCGGGCCCCGGGTCCGGCCAGCCCGCCCACCCCCTCGACCTCAGGGGGGGACGGAAAACAGCGCGGGGACTAAAAAGCCGAGCACACTGACAGCGCCAGACCCAAACGACCCCACGCAGGGCAAGACCGAATGTCAACACACACCACCCCGAGAGGCCCCCCGCCCCCGGCCCGGGCAACGGCAGCCCCGCGCCCCACCGCCCCGCAAACGGCCGCGGGCAGCGCCGCCGAACGGCAGGGCGCCCCGGGAGAGGGGCTTCTCGGGACCCCGGCGGCCCCGTCCGCGGGCGGGCGCGGTGCGCCGCCGGGCCGGGGCCGAGGGAGCGGGGGACTGCGAGGCGCGGGGGCGGCACTCACGTAGACCGGCAGCGGCCACGGGTAGACGGCGGGCTCGGCCCCCACGGGCGACTTGAGCCTCAGCTCCAGCTTCTCCCCCATGTCCGCGCGCGCGGCCGCCGCACCATGCTAGTCGGGCGGTTGGGGGAGGGGCGCGGCGCCGCCGGCGGGGGGCGGGGCGGCGGGCGGAGGAGGGCGGGCGGGAGGGCGGGAGGCTGAGAGGAAGGGGGGGGCCTGGCCTGGGCCTCGGCCGCCGCCGCCGCCGCCGCCGCCGCCGCCGCCGCCCTGTCCGGCCCCCGGCTCCTCTTTGTGGTCACAGGCCCGGGGCCTCCAGCGCCGCCGCCGCCGCCGCCGCCGCCGCGCTCCCGTCCGGCCCCCGGCTCCTCTTTGTGGTCACAGGCCCGGGGCCTCCAGCGCCGCCGCCATCTTGGACCGGCGTGAGGCGAGCACAATGAGCCGGGGGCCGGGCCGAACCATTCTCCGCGCGCGCGCGGGGGGGCCCGGCGCGAGGACTCGGCGCGCGCCCGCTGCCCCGCCCGCCGCGCCGCGCGCTGCCCCCCCGCCGCCCCTCCCCGTGGACTCGCCCACACGCACGCACGCACGCACGTCCTCGGCTGCCCTCGGCCGCCGCCGCCGGCCCGACGCGGGGACCCGGGGAGACCCCGCGGGTCTGGGATGACAGGTTCGAGCCCCGCCCCCGGAGGAGTGGGGGCCCACCCTTCCCACGCCCAGTAAAGCCGTAATTCCTCGTGAAATAGGACGCCCGCCGTCCGGGAGGCCTGCGCTACCGCTCCGGGTACGCGACTCGCCCCGCGAGAACGCAGCTTGCTGAGCATCTGCTCAGCGCCAGGCCCTGAGCACCCAAGAATGACGAAGGGGGACTACCCTGCCCGCAGGGAGGATCGGGCCAGTGCCGGGGAAGCCAAAAGGGTTCTTAATGCCGTGTGTCCACTGGGGCCCAAAGACATTACTTCAGGTGTGTCCAGGGGCTGGTGTTCACATGAGATCACGTTTAAATCGGTTCACTCGAGGCAAAGGACGGTATTATCCGGCATGCTGGGGTGGGCCTCGTCCAGTCAGTTTAAGGTCTTAAGAGGAAAAAAGTAAGTTTCCCTCCAAGGAGGGACCTCTGTCGGCCACTGGCTGCAACGTCAGCTCTTCCCTGGGGTCCTGCCTGAAAGATTTCTGACTTGACGGCCCCCACGGTCACATGACCCAGGTCCCTAAAATAAAAGTAGGTAAGGATATATGTGCTTATACACGCCTATACATTTATGTGTGTGCGCATATACATAGTGTATATGTAAGTGTGTCTACTTACAGGTGTGTACGGACACGTGTGCATATGCGTGTTGCATGTTATATACGTGCAGGTGTATCACATGTATGCCGTACATATACACACCTGTACGTCTCTGTATATGTGTCAATACACACACACATTCTGTGGATTCTGCTAGTCTGGAGAACCCTCACTAATACAGACACCTGTGCTCATTGAGCCCCTGCTATGTGTCAGCGAGGGAGCCAACCACCTGCCTTTTCAGTACCTCCCTTAAGTGTCACAGCTCCCCAGGAGGGCAGGTGGTGGTTTCTGCTCTTGCCAGGTGAGGAGCCTGACGGGCAGTGACCTGCTCAAGTCACGCAGGTGGAAGGTGGAGTCCTGGCAGCAGAGTCCACGCCCCCGTGGGTGCATCTTCCCGGGGATGGGGAGGGAAAGATGCGGGGTCTGGATTGTTGGAAGCTCGAGACCAAGGCCAACTAACCAAGGGCATCAGAAGTCAGGACAGCGAGGGCGCCTGGGTGGCTCAGTCATCGGGCATCTGCCTTCGGCTCAGGTCATGATCCCAGGGTCCTGGGATCGAGTCCCGCATCGGGCTCCCTGCTCCGCGGGAAGCCTGCTTCTCCCTCTCCCCCTCCCCCTGCTTGTGTTCCCTCTCTCGCTGTCTCTCTCTCTCTGTCAAATAAATAAATCTTTAAAAAGTCAGGACAGGGCGCCTGGGTGGCTCAGATGGTTAAGCGTCTGCCTCCGGCTCAGGTCATGATCCCAGGGTCCTGGGATCAAATCCTGCATCGGGCTCCCTGCTCCTTGGGAGCCTGCTTCTCCCTCTGCTTCTCTTTCTCTCTCTCTCTCTCTCCCTCTGTCTCTCATGAATAAATAAAATCTTTAAAAAAAATAAAAAAAAAATAAGTCAGGACAGTGGTTAGCTCAGGAATCAGAGGGGTGACACAGGGACATTCACCTGTGAAAAAGTATCCATCATGCACTTTTTGTATGTCTATCAATAAAAAGCTTTCTAAAAACAGATTCCCCTGGTTGCTATGCAGAGAACACATTGGGAGGTTGGGGGGGGGGTAAAGGAAGAAGCAGTAAGAGGAGGGGGGGCCAGACGGTCACCCAGGTGACAAGGAAGGAAGGTTCTGAAGAGGGACAAACCCCCCATGGATAACTTAGCTAGACTGGACTTTGTGAGCTAAGGACAGCCTGGGACAAGGGTTAGGGTCCCCAGCCTGAGGAACCCAAAGCCCAGAGCCACCCCTCATCCTTCCAGTGAAGAGAGCCAGTCAGCCACCTCGGGCTCCCGGGCTCTCAGGCTATTTTCAGCTTCCATCCCATAGGACACAGAGGCAGCCAAAGCATGTGTCTCAGGAAACACCCTCCCTCCCTCTCTCCCTCCTCCCTCCTCCTCCATCCCTTCCCCTCCCTCCTTCCCTCCCTCCCTCTATCTATTCTCTCCTTTCTGCAGAGAGACCCCCAGGGACCTCTCAGACCCTGACTCGGGCAGCCAACCAGAGAGTGGCTGCAGACAGCAGCTTCCCATCCCTCCCCTCCCCTGCCCGTCCCCCACCATCTGAGGGATGTCAAGACAAGCCCTGGAGGAGGGTGACCTTGGCCCTGGGCCCTCAGCATGTGCCGTTCCTCTGCTTGGAACGTGCTTCCCCAAGACTCCTCCCTCTGCCATCAGTCTTGTTCTCTGCTCACTTCCTCCAGAACCTTCCTGGATTCCACAGACAAGGTGGGGCCCCAGAGTATGCTTTACACCTGCCCTGTACCCACAGAATTCCAATCCCGGCCCTCCCTTCCCTGCCAGGTGAGTGTCTCCACCTCTGCTCATTTCCTCGTTTGAGCAGCTGATGTCCCCAGTCCCTGCCCCAGGATGTTTGAGAGGGTCAAGTCAGGTACCATAGAAAGTGCTAGAACAGTGCCTGCTACACAGAAGTTGTTTGCCACCAGCATTGCTGTTGGTACTGTTATGGTAGTTTGTAGGGTGACCAGCCGTCCGGTTTGCCCAGGACTGTCCCAGCCTCGGCGCTGGAAACCCAGGGGACCCCTCTGTTCTGGGCACACAGGGATGGTTGGTCACTCTATTTAGGATTTATCTCCCATCCCCACGCAGCCGGAAAGGAAATCTCCCTGCACCTGCCTTCCTTCCTGCTGACCCTTCATTCATCCACTCGTGTCTTTGCTCAACTCCTTTATTCAACAAGTATTTCATAAGCAGCTACTACATAGCAGGCCCTCTTCCAGATGCTGGGAACCTAGCAGCCAGGACAGTGGATGGAAATCCATGTCCTCATAGAACTTACGTTCCAGGAAGGGCAGCAAACAATAAGCTGATAAGATGTAATTTATTAAACAGGAATGGTGTCAGGGAGATCACTAAGGTAAGGGAAGGAGAGGGAGAGGGGGCAGCTTTAAATACAGGCCCTGAAACGAAAGGGGCCCACTGCTCTCACCCAGAGCAATCCGGCCCCCAGGGGACACTGGGCCATGTCTGGAGACATCTGTGCTTATAACGACGAGGGGTGAGGCTAGCATCGAGACTCCCAGAGAATGACCCGGCCCCAACGTCAGCAGCGCCAAGGGGCAGAGACCCTGCTCCAACATTATTCTGATGATCTGGTTCCCCCAGAATCCTGCAAGGGCAGGGACTCCATCCCAGCCACTTGTACACCCTCAGAGGTGACGCACAGTGAGGCAGCCAGGCAGGGCTGAGACAAGCCTTGGGGATGAAATGGCAAGTGTGTATGCCCATCCACCTGGCGCTCAGAGCTGGAGAGGTGGGGCTGGCCCCCACACACGATGACCTCTATTACCCACGCACCTTGTGCGGCTAGCTCTTTCCAGAATCACCTCCTCTGGCCACTGTTCTGGTCCCTGTCCTGGGTTGAGTTGACTCTGAGAACAAGGACATGAGTGCAGGTTGATGATTTGAGAGGTGCAGAGAACTGCCTCGGAGGGAGAGGGGGGACAGGAAGAGACAGGTGTGCTCTGATACCAGCTGTCTTAGTGGGACCTCCACCATTACAGAGACTCTGGGGATATGCAAACACATACCTTGGCATGAGCCCACCTGGGGGGTTGAAGGAGCTGGGTGGGGTACTTATGCACTAACTCCTTTTATCAGTGGAGGGGTGGGAGGGGTTGGGAGGATGTGAATTCTCCAGCACTTCTAGCCTGCCACAGTCCTCCAGATGCAGGTACTGGCTGTTGGAGTCTCAAAATGGTCGTGTCCAACAGAAGAGGCCAGGGCACCAGCAGAGTCGAATCTGGTCCCTAAGTGACCAGGTTCATCCTCTCCTATGGTTCTAAATACTTGTAGAGCCTTCAGACTTCCACCCGGGATTTTCACCTTCAGGTCTGGAGTGAACCACCTGCTGACAAGCCACCCCCTTCTCGGGGGCCAGCAGCAGTTCTTTCTTAAATCAAGGTGCATCCAGATACCAAAATCATAAAGAGGAAAGGAGACTCAGGCATGTTTAAATCAAGGAAATACACTATTATCTTTGTAAAAGTGCTTAATTTTAATAGTTAAGATTTACCCAAAAAGTTGCAAAGATGGTACCAAACGTTCCTATGCCCCCCCACCCTGTACCCAGTTCCCCCCCCATTTTTCATGTTACATTAGTATGATACATTTGTTGCAGCTAAGGAACCAACATTGATACATTATTACTAACTAAAGTCAAAACTTTATTTGCATTTCCTTAGTTCTTCCCTAACATCTTTTTTCTGTCCCAGTGTTCTCTGGACTGTGACAGGTTTGGTACCTTGAAAGTTTTGAGGAGGACCAATCAGGTATTTTGTCTCTTAATTTGTT